TTTAAAAAACCATCTCCGTCAGACGCTTCCTTTGACTGCCACATAAATCAATGGGACGCGCGCTTAAAATTCATATCTTGTCAGAATGTAAGTTGTATTTTAAGCTTTTTATCGGGCCCCAAAAGGCGGCTGCAATGCGCCTCGCATTACTCATGCCCCAACAGTTTGCAGCCAAGGAAGCAAAAGCGTCGGTTATGAATGGATAAACGCGGCGGTGGTGCGTGGGTGAAAGGGGAAACTGAGACGGCAAAAGGTGAAGCACAAGTCAAATTATTGGGCCAGCTGAGAGGCCCAAGCGAGACGGCTCTTCTCCACTTTAAAGGTTTCGACTAGGGTGGTTCACGACCGAGTTATTGGCTTTTGAAAATGAAGACCTTATAGTCTTTGAAAAAATACTAACATCATTTATAAACATGTTTAAATAAAATAATATAAAATTTGGATATGGATCACTTAGCAGGTTTTGAAGAACTATGCTTTTTCATAATAATCGATTTTTGGATTATACATGATTATGTTATAAAAAACATGAAAACTGACGTTTTATTTCCGAAAATTTTAATTTCCATACTTTTTCATAATAATAGATTACTGGATTTTAAATCATACTAAAAGATTATGCTATAAACAAACAAGAAAATGACATAAATATTTTTGTTGGACTTAAATGGTCTTACTTTTTATCTCATGTTATTTATGATCCTCCAGGCCAGCAATTGTATTTCCGCAATTATTAGTTTCCGCACCTTTTCATAATAATAGATTATTGGATTATAAATGATTCCAAAAGATTATGTTATAAAAATAAACAAATGATATGATATGATGATGAAATAATTTAAGACCTATGACCTAAATGGCCTTTCTTTTTATCTCATCTTATTTATTATCATCCAGGCCAGCAATTTTATTTCCGCAATTACTTATTTCCATTAGCATTGGCTCACCCTGCTAAATCCCCTAGTAAGACGCCATAATTTTTGTGGCTAAATCTTTTGGACATTTAGGCTGCATCAACAACTCAATCGGCAGGGCCACGTGTTGCATGTGCAACACGAAATGGCTGTAAATATTATTTATGTGCGTTAATGCCAAGCACCATATTCGGATCGGGCTTAAAGAGCGGCGAACATGTGTCCAGAGTGCCGGCAACACGAGCTACTTAAGCGGGTCTCGTATATCCGCGGCTTTATGGCTTAAGTGCGTTATAATTCAAACCCGAATGCCCGGCCACCTGTTCGTCGGATATTTGAGTCGTTGTCACGTCCCTGCCACTCCACTCCGCCATAAATATTGGCCACTATCCCATGACATGTATCATCGTGTCGCTGCTCAGATGATGAGCTCTCATTTCGGGAAATTCATCGCATTTTCAGCTCTGGCAAGTTATGGCCTTTTGTGGATGGCCAGTATTGCACAATCCCAAGTTAATGGCTCCTGAGACTACGATCTCTCTGGCTAATTCCGAAACAAGCACGCAACTAATGAACCTAGGTCTGTGGCACGATCCGCGCACAATATAGTTTATTTATAGCACAGAACTGCGTCGTCGGTGCAACTGAATTATGGGCAACATTATATGGCAACACTTAACTACAAAGTTCGAGCTTCGGGTTAAGTATAGTACTTCCCTAAAATGTATTTTAAATGGGTTAGGCGCTTAGATGTTTAACCAAAAAACCAATAATATTAACTAAATGATTAAGAATTTCTTGTTCATATCAGACATACAATTCAATATGTCTTGACTCAAAATACCGAATAAATTTTTGATGAAGTTGTTTATTTTATATATTTAAGTTCACTTCATAAGTAATACTTACGTTTGAGAATAAGATGTAAGAGTTATTTTGAAGGCTCTTTAATCTTGATTCAAAAAATCGATTACATTTTTGAATTAGTTATTAATTTTATATATTGAAGTTCTCTTCATAAGTAATATAATAATATAATAAGTAATATAATAAGATATGAGTCTTATTTTGAAGGTTCTTTAATCTATTCCTAAGACTTGCTTGTTACATAGTGTAATGCCACTGCACAGTAGCTGGCAACTTGTTGCCAATGGCGGCGCCAAGCAACATTCTGTTGAATTCACGACTGCGATGTCGCCACGAAGTCTGCGATTTTAATCTTTTGCTCTGGCCAGCCTATCCCCCTGTTAACTATACAAATTGTGCGATGTCGTGTGTTAGGTGAGTTGAAGTTGAAGTTGAAGTTGGGGAGGGAGAATGTTGTCAACGCTTGTGTTCTGCCTTTTGGCCTGCTGCCATTTGCAAGAGATGAAATCTGGCATCTTTATAGTACAGGACGCAGACTCATTTGGCTTTTATTTGAGGCGATAAGGGAATGGCATAAATGTTACAGAAATGGCTCTTCAGAATATCTTAATTTGTACAAAATATTAAAGACTACATTGGATTCTTAAATATTTCATACCAAAATTATAGCAATTGAGTGTCGCCAATTGAAAATCTGCTGTGGGTTAATAAAGCATACTGAAAAGAAATTTTCATGATTTTTTATTTATGATCTACCATTAAGAAATCTTTTATCTCAAAGAGAGAATCAGACATTTTTATTCAAAGGTATATGAAATGGCATATTTAATAGCTGCAATATTTCCTCATTTTGCCAAAGAACATTTAAATATTATTTACGGATATTTTAAAGGTAACTTTCCCTGTTTCCTGCAGCTCATAAGCAACTTAATGCTGGCAACTTAATGGGTAATTTCACTCCACTCCCCATTCCTCGTCCCATCTGGCAGTGACTTTCCATTTTAAGTCGCCCATTCGGGCGCTCACTTAAAGCACATTGTTGCAGCGTTTATCATATTAATGTGAGCGACTGCCGTTGTTGGCCGGGTCTCTTAACAACTTAATAATTTATTTGTCTCCCCGCGGAACATGTGTCACGGCCACGTCAGTAGCTCCGAAGAAGAGGGTTCTTGAATTATTTACACGATTTGCATGCGTGGCAACTTTAAAGAGGTTGCGTCTGCGGAGCATAAACATGTCATATTATTATTATTTTTTACTGTCTGATAAAAGTTTCGCCTGGTGTACCATGGCGCTGCGTCATAAAAAATCACTAGGAAAAATGTTTTGAAAAGGACGTGGAGCAACAGGAGCGGGCAGCTTATCAATGCAAAACAGACGCTCGGCTTTGGTCCGTCCACTTCATATTCAAAATTACGCCCCCTTTCATTTCCCAACCCACCTCCATTTCCATCTGCATTGTGCATGAAGCGTTGAAGCAACCCTTGAGGGATTAAATTTCAACAGTTCGCCGCCCGCGTTGCGCATTCTTGGCCAGCACTTTCCCCTCCCCCCAAGCCTCGGAAAATCCCTTTTCCCCGCACTATCAAACTTCAGCAGCTTTTCTCTCGCCGACTTTTCGACGCTTAGCCATCTTTCTGTTCTGTCTGTTTTCGGGAATGGAAAACGGGAAGCGCTTAAATGGGCTGGGGGCATTCAGCTAATGAATGTAATCGTCATAAGCTGCCCTTTTCTGCGGAAGAGCCAACTCATTACGAGGGCCTGTCTACAGAATATTTCCTTGTAATTGGGCTGATTTTGGGGGTTGTACTCGGATCTTTGGCGAGTTATGAGCGCAAATGCATTAAATCAGTTCCTGGGAGCTGTCTATCAAATTGGTTGTTTATGGGAGAAATGGGTGAGCTTCGGGATTATTAATATTTTGAGGGAGTTATTTCTAAAGAATTTGAAGAGATTTCATAGACCACAGCTACAAGATGGAAAATACCTCTTCTAAGCTTGTTTGTTTGCAGTTTCATGAGAAATAAAGCTCTTGAATAAGGAGTACACCTTTAAAAACAATCTGGAATCAAATAAAACTTTAATATTTACGAGTTTCTTTCAGCCGACATGACTAATTTTATCTAGCCGTAATAAAACCGGGAAAACAAAGCCAAACTCTGTTTTCCCGCCTGGTCGCAAGGCCATGATAATGGGGAACCTGCAGCTATTTTGATTTGATAAGCAAACAAAGGCGACAAACAGTGGCAGCAGTGCACACAAAAGCAGAGCAAATAGAATAAAATAATCAGAAAACAAGCGCAGAAAGTGGTAATGAGTATACGCCGTGTCTGACAAAGGCGGAAAAAAGGGGAAACAGAAGCGGAACGTCGTTGCCGGTTTTTCTGTTTTGTCTGGGGAAAGTGAAAAGCATGTAAATGCCCAGGGCGGTTATTATGAGGGACCCATCTCCGAACCCTCCTCCAATTTCTATATTCAAGAGCCCGTCTGGCAGACACTTGAGCCAGCCAGCTCCTCAACATCCAGCTGGACAATAATTGTGCGAGGGTTTCATGCCAAAGTGTCCTGCGGGCAGGAAAGGCGGGGTAACCCCGGAAAAGGGGGGAAATTCCGAGCTGGAATGGCATTTCAAACAAAGATCCAGATCCCGGGGAGGGCCGAATGCTAATGAATTGAAATTGTTGGCGGCGCGGGGGCGTATGAGCAATTTAATTGCCGAGCAAATTGCGCGCTGATGAAAATTGAATTGTTCATTGGGTGGCGTGGCGTGTCATGTCACTGTCAAGTGCAAATGTTTCCAATGCCGCAACACCAACATTGTCTCCCGAAAAACATTCAACAAATGAGGTTTGCAAATGCCGGCAAATGGAAATGGAAGAGCTTGCGTGTTATTTATTATTATTCGCCTACAATTGGGCTCGGCGCTGTGTAAATGATTTTTCAAGCGATTTATTTGCGGTCTGGCTTGGTTGCTTTTTTAATGAATTTTCCCCTCGGAAAAGTCCTTCAATTCGACGTGTAACTATGAAAAAGAAATGATACGACCATCGCAAGCTGTCACCGCGGGCGTGACTAAAAGTTGCCATAAAAGAAACCGTAGCCAAAGCCGTAAACTTTTATTACTGCACACTGCATTCCGGCTCGGTTTTTCATTTTAATTTTCACGCTGATGTCATTGTCCTCGGGAATAATTTTTTGTATTTTCCGGATTATTTGCAGACGGAGCTCTCGCACAATCTGCAACAATTGTCGGAGAAGGCACGTTCCACGACCGAGTTCATCCAGCGCCTCAAAGGCATGAGCGACAAAGTTACGGTAAGTGAGCACCCGGCGACCGAAATCCCTGATCCGGCTAAAATCTGACTCATCTTAAAACAGGAATCCTGCATGGAGTTCGAGCGCCTCGTCCACGCCCAGTGCGAGGCCCTCATCCAGGCCATCCACGACAGACGCGAATACCTGCTGGAGGCGATTCGCATGGACAAGGACACCAAGATCAGGATATTGAAGGTTGGTTTTGACCTCTAATTCTAGAACATTAAAATAATAGTAAATGTTGACTGTATAGCTCATTGCCCAAGAAAAATCATTTGAAAACATATGCATAGAAGTTTTTAAGTTCCGTACACAGACGTTCTGACGTGGTTGAAGATAAAAATGTATTAATAGTGCTTAAATCAAGATTAATTGGCGTTATTTACAGTTTATATCTTAACAACTAAACTATTAGTCCAGTCAGTAGAGTATACTTATTGAAAAGTTGTTAAATAAACTCAATCTATCTTTTTTCGTCTCACTATTTCGTTCTAATATTAAGACAATTGATAGCAAAATATACTGAAACGGTTTTCAAGAACGAATGTTCTTAAATCAAGAACAATGTACTTTAATATTTGCCTCTGTGTAGTGTGTATCAAGTTTTTAAGTTCGGTTCTGTGTATTAAAGATATGAAACATTTACTTAAATATTATTAGTAATAATTTATAACATAAAGAACATTTCTATGTTCATAATTGCATGTATATGTATATGTATAAAAAATGTCTGTAAAGGACCAAACAAAAGAAAGCAATTTACTTTCAACAAAAATGGAGTAATATATTTTTCTTTACAGGACCAACAGTCAAACTGCACTGGCAAATTACAGCAGACCACTGGATTGATTCAGTTCTGCATCGAGGCTCTGAAAGAGACTGACAGCGCCGCCTTTCTTCAGGTGGGTTTACTTACTGGTTTTAATTGCTAAGAGTAAATAAATAAAAATAAAATACTTGCTAATTAGGTGGGTTCCATGCTTATTAATCGGGTGACCAACACGGACATGACCTGGCACCAGGAGGTCACTAATGCTGCCCCTCGAGTTTCGCCCATCGTGGATTTGACCCTCGATGATGCTGCTTTGACACGTGCCATAGATAACTTGAACTTTATCCAGATGAAAGGTAAGAAATGGAAGATTAAATTAAAATTTCTGCTGCTAATTACAATAATAGCTATGTTAGTCAGACCAAGTGTTCAGATGTAATAACTTAAGGGATTGAAGACCAATGTTAGAAATATTTAAAACCATAAATGTGTTAGATCTCATGGAGTATTTAAGTGTAGAGCAATTGAGCTCCGAAATTTAATGTTCTATATGGTCGTGTTCTAACCACCGGTAAATTATTGAGCCCAACTGTATGTGCTAGCAAACTCACCTCATAAATATTGTCACTAATTACGCACAAACACACACACCCTCCCACTTGGCCAAAGGTGTGACTTTGGGCCACCCTGCAAACACAAGCATAAGCATAAACATAAACAAAAACAGAGCCCACACTCGACTTGCCCTCGAAACAACAGCGGAAAGAGCCCTTCAATCGAGGGCCGTTGAAGAGTTGGGACCGAAGGGCTTCGAAAATAGTTGGGGAACTCCCAGGAGAAGGGGTTTCAAAATTAGAACTGGAAAAGTGCTGGGAAAATGGAATCGGGAGATGCACATCTCATGTGTGGAGTTGACAAATTTCGAGCGGAGGAGCCCAGAAATAGACCCCCGACAATTAAAGTGAAAGTGTTGAAATCGGATAGTGCACATTTGTTCGCCACACACAGCCACCGAGATAACCATTAAAATAGATTATAAACCGTATGCATCTGATATGTCTAACATTTTGTGCTTTTCTTGCATCTTCCTTTCATTTTGAATGTGCCGCTTGCTCTCATTTAAATGAATACCCCCATAAAACCGAATAAAAACCATCTAAAGCCGTCAAAGATGGAGATGAAAGATGTCCGGCAGGTGAGCAAAAACTGAAATCACTTGAATGCAAAAATATGAAATGAAAAATCAATACACAATTTAAGTTTTCGCACACAAGACAGAAACTCATGAAGTTTAATTTCGTCATATTCGTTCTGTTTTTGGGAAAAACTGATTTTTGGTGCTTTCGGACTATCAACCACACACACACACACTGACTCATTCACACACACACATCCTTGCCTGCTCACCCACACATCTACTTGGTTCGTCGGCCATTTTGTTTTCATGGATTTTGGCCATTGCTTTCCGCCTTTGTTTACCGTTCTTTTCCGTTTGACGGGCACACGCCTACGCATAATAATTTTTCATTTTCATTTAAGCCGCTAGCTGGGAATAAAAAAAAATAAGCAGAATGCCCGAAAATGCGTCCAAATATTTTCGGCTTCACTTCCGCTTCCTGGCGAATGTCAAAAAATGCCTTACCGCAGCCTGTCAGCCCGAGGGGGCGGCTTCGTGGTGGGCGTGGTCAGCGATGTCATTTCAAGTGACATAATTTTTTACGCCACTTTTTCCCCTTGCCTTCGACTGTCGCTTTTCATTTGACTCCCCTGTCCCTCCATCTTCATCATTCTCTGCTTAAGCTTTTATTTCACATTTTTCGTTTATATGGTTATTATTTTTATTATTTTTTTCGTACCTTAGCCTTTTCTGGTATTTTCGCTAGCAATTGACCCTCTTCAAGCCCTCTGCTTAGGCTTATCCCCTACACTTTTAGCCTGATTGCCGGGCCACCTTGATTTTAACTTGTTACTTTGTGACTCGCTTTTTGTTTCGGTGACATTTGACAGCTTTTGGCGCCTTTTTAATTCGATGCCAGGCCCAAGGGAGCGGAAATCCCGAAACAGAGGAAGAAGTGTCGTCATTTTTATGTTTATTTTGTGGCATAATTTTAGGCGCTTCACTTTGCCTCGCCATTTGTGTTGTGTCATGAATTTTTATTACGAGGCGTTGGTTTTATGCCCCGATTTTACGACTCGAAGGCGTGGCGCCCCTCCGGGCAATTAATAAAAAATGAAACCCCAACGAATGACACAACCTCACGGTTGACAGATTCGTTTCGGCTTTTTAAGGGATCAATTGGTCCTTGGGTTTTTATCTTATGAAACTATTTTATTGGTTGTGGTGTTTGTCTTGGTTATATTGATAATTTGACTTACTTTTATTTAACAACCTCTTTTTTCCCCAATACTAACCTTTATTTTGGGTATTTTCTGATGTTCTTGATTTTACTGCAGCCAAAACTAATAGGACTATTTTTATTTTTCAACAGCACCCATGACTCCAACTATACTGCCATCGGATTGTTCAGCCGAAAATAATTCGGTTACCGTTGCGTGGCAGCCACCAAATCACTCATTTGTCGAGGGTTATGTTTTGGAATTGGATGATGGCAGCGGTGGAGAATTCAGGGTAAGTTATGATTACCTTAAAAATATTAAATTATTAATATTAATTATGGGGAGAGCCACACAAATAAATAAGGTTATCGAAATTACGCTTGAATGTGAAATATATGGTTGCATACTTTTAGACACCTTAATTTATATTTAAAAGTGATTTCAACACCGTATAAATTTGTATGGCACCTATGTATATTTGTTTATTGTCATTCAAAATTTCTTATATTTAAAATTCAAATATGAAAAAACTTGTTGAAATGAAATTAGGTTTCTTATACAGAAACAACCTGTAAAATTTAATGTTTTCCCCTCATTGAATAGTCTTTTCATACTATTCAATGCCCAATAAAGTAATGTGTGATCGAGTTAAGCGAACTGAATGCCAAAACAGCTAATGAATGGCCCAGTCCAACTGCTGATTGGCTGACTGAATAGCTGTCATCTTCCAATTTATTAACCCAGAACTTTAATTTGATTGCCCCCTCCACAGGAAGTCTACTGCGGCAAGGAAACAATTTGCACCGTGGACGGCCTGCACTTCAACTCGATGTACAACGCCCGGGTGAAGGCCTTCAATTCCGCCGGAGAGGGTGAATACTCGGAGCTGATTGGACTGCAGACTGCCGAAGGTGAGTCCCGCTTTTCACATTTTCACGTTTCCACCTCTGCTGCTCTACTACTAGCTTTTTCAATTAAGCTCCTCCTGGATGGCTGGCTTGTGAGCTACTTTTCCAACTGTTTTATAATTTAATCCTTTTCGGTCATGCGCCACCACCCACTTTCCACTTCTCCTGGTTTCCCGTTCGTGCTTTGCATGTCAAACAGCCATTGACCCCTTTTACGCCTGCCGGGCAGGAAAAACCTGAATGGAAATGGTATTGGGAGGGGCTGAGAAAAGGGGATTTATCCAAAGGCGGGGGAGGATGTCTTCTGCAATCCAATTCTCACTTGATTGATGCATGCGCCACCTGACAGCAGCTCCTGTTTCTCCAGGAACCGAACCCTACCCCAGCCCACCCCACATCCACCGCAAAACCAAACGCCGCGTAAAGTTATTTAATTTATTAAATTCCCAGAACGCTCTAGGAAGCCTTTTACTGCCCGTCGCTTTATTAGTTGGTCGCCATTAATTTGCAACTTTTAATTGATTATTTCTCGGGGCCTGCGAGTTGTCTTAGCGGAGTTCACAGGCGATTTAAGCGGACCATCCGACCCCGAAACAGAAACCGATCCCACTGCAAATTGCCATTTTATAAAGTGTTTACACCGAGCGCGTGTCCCTAAGTAATTAACGGAAAAACCAGTTAACAGTTTATGGCTCGTGACGTTTGCGGGCGGTCTGTGCTAATGGCTTAGCTCTGACACCTTATAGACATAAGAAAACAGTTAAGAAGACGCTGACCCAGGGAAACGAAAAGGGTTAAAGTGGTTTCAATTACTTAAGGCAACTAATTGGAGGTCGTTTGTTGGAAAAACCTGGATAACTACAGGCAAAATATTACAAAATGTTTGTACCATAGCATTCTCACTAGATATACTTCATACCACATAACATAGACTTAAAATCTTAGTAGATACTAGGGCTTTTTCGTACAAAGAAGCCCTCGGATTATAGACCATTCCGGATCCATTTTAATAGACTCTTAATCCCAACTTCAGACGCAATCATTTGGCAAACAACTTAGTTCCGTCTCCCTCTTGGTCATCCAATTAAGAAACTGGGAACGGTTTATAACAACTAATTAAATGCCGGGATCCAGGGCTCTCGGTTTATAGTGCGTGCCTCAGATCCCTCATAGTTTTAATCGCAAAGTCATATCCCCGACATAAACAAAACAATGGCCGGCCAGAGTCCTCCTGGCCCAGATGCTTGCTTTGTGGCTCGTTTGGCCACACAATTGCCTTTGGTGGCCAATAAAACAGGCAACGTCATCATCGCCAGCAGACCGAGAAGTGGAGCTATGTACAAGGCAGGTCCCAGCTGATTGCAGACTAGCCTTGGCCACTTAATGCGGCCACAACAATAAAAAAGGAAATTTAATAAAGCACTCGACTCGACGCCACTCGTTGCCTACTTTGCGGCGCATAACAGCATAAACTGCAGGGAACCGACTTGCACTTCGACCACGACTCCGAATCGCACTGGCCACTTGAGCTTTGACAATGGGGAAAATTGCTACCAGTCTGACTTTGTTTTTCTTTCCACTTTGCACTTCTCCCTGCACTAAGAAAAACCATCTCCTTAAATTACCAAAATAATAAAAAGGTAATGGGATGGTATTGGATAAGGCGCTTATAATCAGTGGCAATTGCAAAACTTCAGTCTGAAGAACCAAATGGGAATAGCTTGAGAAAACGTTATGCTGCCAAGCAAAGGAAATCGCTTTATATTTTATAGGATAAATACTTGTTAACTAGAAGGGTAGTGGCTATATTTTATTTGGGACTATAAATATTATTATCAGGTTTTTCCACTATCCTGGGAGTTACGAAAATGTAATATCCAGAGACTTGTAAACAGACGTCGGCTTGTATGTAAAATCACTTATAAAACCTTTTTGTCCTGATCTTTGACTAAATAATAGTTGTTTTTATGAAATCATAATTTTATTATATTTAAAATCAATTAGGAATTATTGAAAAAATATTGTATCTAATGCAGATTTTCTTGAATCTCACGAGTAAATATATTTAAAGGACTGGTAAATATCTTCTGGTTGTTCTAAAAATGTTTCTATCTGATTAATATATATTTACTTATTATAAAGTTATTAAATAAAGTTAGTAAGCTAATCCCAATATTATTTCAAAGTGTACTTATCAGCTATGTTTCCGCCTGTTCCATTGCAGTGGCCTGGTTCACGTTTGATCCCGTTCTGAGCGGCGGCGCCGGCTCGGGCTTAATCTTCAGCAAAAACAACGCCACCGTGAGCGTCGAGGGCTGGGAGCACCGGGTGGCCCTCGGCTCCGTGGGATTCTCCCGGGGCGTCCACTACTGGGAGTTCACCATCGACAACTACACGGCAGATACGGATCCGGCCTTCGGAGTGGCCCGCATCGACGTGGCCCGGAATAAAATGCTCGGTGAGTGCCCAACTCATTCACCTTTCAGTGGGTTACTGGTCGCATTCGCAATTCAATTAAAAATGCACAGCAGGCGCAGGGATAGAAAGTTTGATCGAAAATGGGGGAAACCAGAAGTGGGAAATGTGCACAACAAATGGATTCTGGCGTTGACAAAAGAGCCAATACGTATGCGGAAAGTTCGCAACTAATAGACAAGGATTCCGGGAGGGAGTTCAGCTGGGGGTTGGGGACTTAAAACTTTGCCATTTTGCCGCCTCGCAATGCGAAGCCAATAAAATCGAGTGCCAAGTAGGGGGGCGTATCGAAAACTTTTGCCATTTCTTGTTGCATGTGCGTGGAGCGGAACCTTAGGACGAACCGAGGACGGAGGATGAGGTCCCTTCGTCTGCCAGACAAACACAAATACAAACAGAGGATCCGACGGAGGCGCCTTGAAGTATGCCTCGGCAAATTGATTGAAAATGTGCGTGGTTGGAAAGTGGGAGGAGTATGGCGTCTTGGACTGCAGACAAAAGTAATTAAAAGTGCGGCACTTAAACTTTTGTCAAATGCAAAAGTTTATTTGCGGCAGCGCATCGCGCTCCTTTTTTTATTTTTAAGGAACCGCTGTGTATCCTTTTCACTTACACAATTTATTCCCCAAGCTGCTCACGCGCCATTTAACACGTGCCCGCCAGCATCGGTGGTCCCCGCTTTTGGAAAACTCAAGTTTTCGAATTAAATTTTCATATGCAAAAGCGCTGGCGCAACTCCGGAGCAGGTGGCGCCCCTAGCGACTGACATTGACACTAACAGTTGCAGTTTGCCAAGTTGTTTTACGACTCTCATGCGTTCTATATCCCGCCCCTCGCCTTCCTGCTCCCGATGCTCCTGAAGCCCCTGCGTTTGTCAGTTATAATTCCGCAGGACCAGGACGACAGACAGGAAACTGACAGGCCATGGATAGTGCGAGTCGGGGGAGTTATCTTGCAGCCGGAGTTTAAAGTTCGCAACTCCAAGTTAAAACTGAGCTGAGGAAGTCAGCAAAGCGAAGAGCAAAGATTATTTGGGGTATTAAAATTATCAACGAATTTAGACAAACGATTTATGGCGCTTAAGAGGGAAGAATAGAAGAACAGTCCTTCCTTTTCTTTTTCATATGTTTCTCAGTCATTAGTGTCTTCCGAACTTTGTTTTTAAACTATAAAATATATTTAGGATCTTTAATTTGATCGTATTCAACCGCAAATAAAATAATTAAGTCAAAATTAAATACTTAGGTACACAGAGAGAATTCTGATATTCTAATCTGAGTTCAGACTGTTCTTAAAGATACTCGTAGAACAATATTTGGTAAGATTAGATTGTTTTCATTGTTTTAACAACTAAACAATTAGTCCAGTGAGTAGTGTATACCTATTGAAAAGTTCTTAAATAAACTAAATTTAACTTTTCTTTTCTCACCATTTCGTTCTAATATTGAGATAATTGATACCAAAATCTACTTACACGGTTTGTAAGAATGAATGTTCTCAAATAAAGAACAATGTACTCAAATATTCCTCTCTGTGTAGAAGTATAAACCATGGGAATTTGATGAATTAAACAAATGTACTATATTCTTCTAAATGGGTATTAGGTTGGGTATTTTGTTTTATTGATCGATTAATAGCAATTAAGCTATAATTGTTCTTCCGAATAGAAGTTATCCACAATTTAGACTAACATATAATTTTGGTTTTTTTTATTATCTTCCTCAGGCAAGGACGAGAAGTCATTCGCCATGTACATCGACCGTCAGCGATCCTGGTTCCAGCACAACTCAGTTCACGAGCGGCGAGTTGAGGGTGGAATCACCACCGGAAGTACGATTGGAGTACTTCTCGACCTGGAGAGGCACACTCTCAGCTTCCTGGTCAACGAGATGCCCCAGGGATCGGTGGCTTTCCGGGATCTCTATGGAGTGTTCTACCCGGCAGTGAGCATCAACAGGGGAGTCACCCTCACCATGCACACGGCCATGGACGCGCCCAAGATGGATTACTTCTAGGGAAGGTTGAGGCGGGTCAGAAGTAGCAAATTGTGTACATAGAGCTTGACATTTGGCAGTTATCGGTGTCTATATAGCATTACCTTAATACGAACAGTTTACTCAGACAGCTTACATATAGTATATATTGTGTGTACGTGTAGTTTCGGGCAAGGTTCAGCGACATATCTCCATTTAATCGTATCTCTATTCGTAGTTATAGGCACTGTTTGTAAAACGCTGCGCCAATTCGGAGAGAAATTATTAAAAATAATTGAAAGCATTTAAAGGTAACTCGATGTAAAATATAATAACACAGCTCTGAATGTTTTTCAAAACAAATATGAAGCCAAAAATCAAGCACCGTGCAACATAAAAAGTTAAATCGCGAACACCAAAAAAACAAATCTAATTTAAACGCAAGCGAATGAAAAACTAAGGTAAAATCCAATTAGCAATTAGTGTAGCTAAAAATCTGCATCTGTATGTCATCACACGTACGTGTGTTAAGGTTAATGTTTATGGGTAAAAAACGCATTTGTTTGAGGCTAAAACGAAATCAAAATCAACGTGTTGGGGAAGTTTTTTTATTTTAAAGACTGAAATAACATGTTTTTATAAGTACGATAGCAGAAACACGGACAGGAACACAAGAAAGGCCTCCTTTAAAAGTGCGAAAATAATCGCTGCACCCCCGACAAAATTGTTCCCCAAATTTACCTAATCGTAGTATCTTTCAATATTCAAGAGCACTGCAAAATCTGCATTAATTAAATGTCCCCAAACACGGAAACCAATTTAAAGCCAAGAGTTTCGCTTATAAAATCAAATATGCATCAGAATATTAATATTTAATGTACAATTAGGTTCCCTGTAAATATTAATGTATTTTTTACTAAACATTCGGCTATTCTACTTTTTTTCTATTAAGGTGTAATACATACAATTAAATTCCAATGTGTGTACGGACTATTTATACTTTTCAACTTAAGCCTATCTACAGCGAAAAAAACAATTAAAGTTAATTACCAGTACTATGCATGTTTAAATATTTATAATAGTAATAATATTAAAATCCAAACAAACCGAAGAGCAAAAAAATGTAATTGCATGGGCAACTACAGGCACACATATAAATGAGTTTATTAAACAAAAAAGCGGAAACAAAATAAATATGAAAAAAGGCATAATAAAATTAAAGCGCGTTTATTTTTCTACATTCTATTGGGTTGCAGTTAAAAGTTAAAATGGGTATATATTTTTTTAAGGATTAACATTAATCAATCTGCAGAGTTCTAAAAGCCAGGTAATTTTCACTTTTTAAATACCGTTTAGTGGCGGTTCTCTGCCCAGAAACTTCACTTTCATAGCTTGCCACGCTTTTCATTTGGCGACGCATTAGTGGAAAAGCCCCACGAAAGCCGGAGTTCATTGTGCCAATTTCTGTGCGGATTCCTGTGTTTGTTCTGCAGTTTAGTTGTTTCGTTGTTTTTTGTTTTGCTGGGGACAGCATTTGAAGCGGAAAATGTGTCGCCGACAATATGAATTCTGCTGTGTTGTGTTGTTTTGGCATCCATCCACCCGCCCACCTCACACTTTCGCAAATTACACACTTAACTTTAGCGCCACGATTGCTTAGAAAGAAGCATGTGTCAACTGCCAGAGTCGGCATTTCCAGAATGTTTGGTGCGAGTGTTTTATGGGGGGTCTGCCATTGTTTGGTGGGTTTGACAAAGGCGAAAATTTTAATGAGCACAGCGCTGAAAAAACCGCCAAAGCAACTTTTGTTATTTCGTCCCCGCATTGTTTGCACTACATATAGTTCTGCGCCAGGAAAACGCATCAAAGTGCAATTTTTATATCCGGGTTGCAGTTGGCCAACTGACAAGGGAAAGCGCTTAGCTGATCCCCCCCCCATCCACATCCACATCCGCATCCGCATCCGTCGTCCTAGACAGCAGACAAGCGATGGAAGACAGGACATGGGACACAGCACACAGGACACAGGACTTGCAGCAGCTGCTCCATCGTCGCCTGCTTCATAAATCATAAAAAACTTTCGCCGCACGTCGCCGAACAAGAACAACTCCCGACAAACCGCCGAACCCCCCCTCTTTTCCCAGCCCCCTCCTGGGAAAACTTGCCCCCACAAACTAACCAACAGCTGCTAAGTGTTGAGTAAATGTTTTCGCGCCTCGTTGCGCTCTAAAATTCCCAAAACGTTTCCAGTTGTTGGTATTAGTGCGGCTATATGGCGGATGTGGCACGTGATTGCTGCAGTATCCCCCCCACCCCTTAACCCAACCAAACTCATAAATAGATCGAGAAGATGGGATGGCAAGCTTGAAGTTTTCAGGCGATAGCAGTAAGTATCCGGGTAGATAATTTTGGTATAGTTTACAAAATACATTTTCATTAAACAGGATAGCGAAGCTAAATCGACCGCCTAGTGTTAATATATATTCATAAATTACAATACTCGACTAATAGAATTTAAGGATCATTATTATTAATTTAAAATTCCATGACGTACCTGTGTCAGTCTCTTTAATCTTGACCAGAACTTTATTCGAACTTGAGAAATCCCCAAAAGATTTATTATGATTTTAGTGACAAGCTGATACTGAATCTGATTTTGAACGGCTTTTCTTAAAACAACAATTAAGAACTAATCAACATATACGATTAGGATAACAACAAAGAGATCCTCTTTGGTCAATCTATCTATTATCTTACAGATGGTTTTATCAGTAAATACATTAGGTAAACTCATAACTGTGTTTAGCCATATAACATTTATTAAGGACTCGTCACTTGTGCCATTGTACTTTGTTGTATATAAATTATTCAATCACCTAATGGACGGTACAACCAAAGATCACATTTAAATCAAGTGCATTTCGCAAAAACAATAAATTATTTAACCTACAGCTCTGAAGTGGGATCAGTAGCTGCCTTTACCAGATCACCTTCAAGGTGATCTTGCGGGACCTTTTCTCGCTGCTCCTCATTTCCAGCGATGGTGCCAGCCGCCTCATCCTCTTCTAAGTTCTCATCAACCGGGGATCCCGTAGTCAACTGAGCCACCTCCTCCTCCACCGGTGTTACTGTGGTGACGTCCTTGGCTGCCCCGCCTGCTTCCCAGTACTGCATCACCTGCAGAATCCTGGGCTGGATCGAACGCCTGGCACTGATGGCCCAGATCAAGTCCATGTGGTTCCATTTGCGATACATATGGTTCTCCACCACATTGGGCAACAACTTAGCCAGCCGTTGAACATCCTCCACCGCAGATAGATAGTCATTACTGCCGTAGTAGAGGGCCACCGGGGCAGTGATCCTTTCAAGGCGATAATCCGGCGGAGTGAGACGTCCGTAAAGCCGCTGGTTCTCCTTGGGATCGTAGTCGTACTGGCAGAAGCGATCTGAGTTCTGCAATTGGATGTAGTGAAGGGGTTGTTTGATATTGCAGCCGCCGGGGATATGACCCATCACCACCGGGAACATGGTCTGTAAAAATGTTCGTTATATAGGAATCAAAGAGGGAGTAATGATCTAATACCAACCATATTTTGCTCCTCCCGATTCTTTCCCACGATCTGCCAGTAGAAGCGCATACAGGTCTTCAGCAAGGGGGCGGAGGAAATACACTGGTTAAGATACAGGGAAGAGTGTGGAAATAGCTCAAAGTTTTCACCAAACATGTTGATGCCCATGCGGGCCATTCCCAGGAGTGGAGCCTTCATATGCTTCATAAAGGCCACAGGGGCCAGAGCGCTCATCAAATGAATCTTAGAGTTGTACTGCGGTCTACTCGAAGCCATCACAAAGAACGAGGTTGTTCCCTGGGAGTGGCCAAAATAGCTCAGCTTTTGGTATCCTGTTTTTTCCAGAACCCCATCGATCATGGCCGGCAGATCGTACATCCCGATCTCATGCCACGAGAAGCTCCAGTAAGCCTTGTCCGTATTTGGATTAAGTTTTACATGGCCTTTAGAGTAGCGATTACCCCTGACATTGCCCATCCAGACATCGTATCCGTTGGCGTACAGAAAGTAACCCAGGCCACTGTGTGGGCCCATCACAATCCAGGTGGAAGAAGTGTCCTCCAGGCCGTGAACCAACAGCACCGGTTTGGCCCCAGGTCGGGGAATGCGATGGAGGGTCAGGACATATTTATCTTCCGTGGTCACCTGATGGGTTTCCGCTGGATGCTTGTACTTCTCCAGCAGCTGTATCTATAGAGAGTTGTGTCAGCAAGATGCCAATGAAATACATCCAGAACTAACCGAATTCAGTTGGGCGTCCTCAATCACACTCGCTGGAAAGGTATCCTCCACGAATCCACCCAAAACCATAGGGCCATAGAGCGAATAAGCCCCGAGCGTTGCGAGAAACCAGATCGCGTGTCGCATGGCGTTCGATCCGTGACTAAGTCGAACTCAGTCCGAACTCACTGCCCACTAAAGCGCTGTAATTAGTACGGACTGTTGGTTTTTGTTTTTTTTCGGCTTATCGTATAATCGAATCTTGGCCAGCTCATTTTCAGTTTTATGTGACAGAAAATGTTCAATAGCTCCATCAAATTGGAGAAATTAAAAATGTTTTCGAGCAATATGGTCAAAGTTCAGTGTGATCAGTGGCGTTAATTTCAGCGATCTGCATTCATTTAATAAGCCATAAGTAACTAAGTTTTTATGACAATAAATCAGCTGGAACGACAAGATCAGATACCTTCATTGGCTTTTAATAACTCTATCAAAACGTAGTTTTAAAAACTTCCATTAATTATGGGCTTTGCACTAATCTCTTTCAGCTTAAAAGCGACAAAACAAATAAATAAGTTATTAAATTGTAGTTTAAAAATACCTTAATATATTCTAGCCAAATAAAAAAGTATTTAAATACTAAGAGAATATGGTTATATAAGGATAATGTTCGTTAGGTATAATTTCTTAGCGAATAAAATATATAATTAAACTTTAAGTCCTTCCTAACAACACTATTGTGTCAACCGGCACTGTGCGTCCTATTTTCAAGGCCCTTGATTCGAGTGCATCTATATTGCCCACCACGGAGCAAATCAAAGCGCTTTCCTTTTAATCAGATTTGCCTCGCCACTTCGAAAAGCGTATGATCCTAGAAATGTTTGCCGGCTTAATTGGAAAATTTAATTTTTAATTCAGTTGTGGAGTGGACCGTGTCCACTTGGCAAACATTTGAATCGTCCCTTTCATTGCCTACGTCATCGCTTTCTTTTTTCGCAATTGATTGGCAAAAATTGATTTCGGCTTCTGCATAAAATATTTGCCGCTCCTTTATTTGCAGCAACTGCTGTCACGGCGACGACTGACAGGCTGACAAAGCGGCGTGGACGGAGCGGAATCCTTTCCAGCCCCGGGCCGTGTCCGGATTTTCGATTCGGATTCTGAATCGGATCCGTCGCCGATGCCGGGATAGGCCTGATGTGAATGCGCCGGTGCCGGCCAACGTTTCGACATTTGACAAATAACTTAATTCGGCGTTGTCACCACATGTTGGCCATGTCGACATGGGCGGCGGGTGGATCAGACGGATCGGGATGGAGGTGGGTGGTGTGGCAGCCTTGGCAACTTGACATCTCATGGCATGCGGGTCCATGTGGGCGTGGTGGTTCGGGGGGCAGAGATGTGGGGATGTGAGGCGCACAGTGGGAGGGGCTGTGGCTCTGCACAAGTCAGTTGGAAGGATGTTCAAGTTGAAGCCTCGGTTTTGTGCTCGACTGGCGAGAACTTCAATAGTCTAAGCCTCGGGGCTGCCTTTAAAATTAATTTGCTAAACTTATCAATTGGGATATCCTTTCACTAGGAAAGTTTAACAAAAATGTACCATATAAAAGGTGAAATTCAGGAAAGTGAATCATTTCTCAGTTAGGTATACCCGTAACTCATAGAGTAAAAGGGTATACTGTATTCGGGGAAAGTATGTAACAGGTAGAAGGAAGAGTTTTCAACCCTAAGTATTTATTTATAAGAAAACTTTGTAAAAGAAAAATAAGTTCGATAACATTGCCCTAGGGGATGTCCATGTACTACGTTTGTTAGGCAAAAGCTTTCTGTTGTGAAACAAATACATTCAGGTTCAAAAAGCGCCAAAAAAATTATAAGGCCCCTTTCGTAATCATAATTGTCACCTTTTTATGCCCCCTTTTTCCCTCCATGTAGTCATTTTATCAAGCGAAAAATGTATTCATTTCAAAACAGTTGGATGACATCAAGTGATTACGTAATTTATGAAAAGCCCCTTAAGGGATTTTGGAAAACTAATATAAGTTTACGTAGTTATTCCTTACATATAAGGGCAGAGCTTCTGTTTTAGATAGTACCTCCCCATATAAATCATTTTTTAACAAATAATACTCTATTTCCAGTGTTTCTGGATTACGATATAGTAACATAAAACATCTTTTTGTATTAATTTAGAGTTTTTGTGGCTCATGATACTTCCCCCAGAGTCTTTAAGGGCTGCCAAAAATCGTTGCCCTTTTAACCCACTTTTCCCAACACCAAAATTTAGCTGTCAATTGTGTTACCCAATTTCCTGGTCTCACCTTAAAAGGTGGACCAGTCGAGGAGGCGGTTCCTTTAAGTCCCGACGCGTGCCACGACAATTAGCCATTGGCCTGCTTGCCAATGGATTTGTGTTATTACTGTGCCAACTGCCAATCACACGACAATCAACAGGCCGAAAGCGTGTTGCAACTTGCAGTCCACCGAAGTGCAGGCCAGGAAACCCGCTTGGCCAACAATGAAAACGAGACCAATCAATTGGCCTGGGAGCCCTTAGTGGGAGCTGTGCTGAGACAATGGGAGCACAGCTCTCAGCCTTAAATGCCTAGAGCAACTAGCCGGCTACACTGGGAAAATAAATAAGAGAGAAGCACAAAAAATAAACGAAATCAATTAAGTTAAATAATTATACATTTACATTTTTAAAATATTTAAAACAAACATAGGTGACAAACGAAATTACTTTAAGACACTTACTTGCTGTCTTTAGGGCCGCTTTGACTATTGCTTGATTTTTGACTGATTGACTGAATTTATTGTATAAAATTATGGTAAACTAAAAATGATAAAATTTATATTTTCTCAAGGTGGTCATGTCTTTTTAAGATAAATGCAGTCAGTTAGTCCCGAGATACTTAAAAAACTATTGAGGTAATTTAGTTGTATTACAATGGTATAATATGTAAAATTTGATTATACGGTTCCTTGTAAGTAGGATTGAGTTACTTACCTCTAAAATGTTCAATTAATTTTTTTTAATCCCTGTTCGCTTTTATTAAATGTAGAGCAAATCTGTTTGAGTGTTCGATGCCCGAAGCTCGTTAGTGGCAGCATCTGGCGTGGCTGAGATTATGATCAGCATTGTTCGGCTGTCGTGGGCTCACATTAGCCGCAGCAGTTGCTCAAATCCACCTCAATAGCCCCATCGAGGAACCCCTTTATGTTGGCCACGCACGTGACTTTTAATCACGCGCGCATAAAATTTCATGCGAAATCATTGTCTTGGCCGAAAGCAGTAACTGCTTCCGAGTTTTTGGCTCATTACGGCGCCAGAGAAATAAAAGTGCGTGAAGCCTAAGTGAAATAGTGGCCGGGGCGAAAAAAGGTCAGCCTCTGAAACTTTACGACTTTAGCGAAGTTTTTGGACCTGGGCCAGAACAGGACTATATTCCTTTGGCCAGTCAAAGGAACAACTTCCGCTTTAGCAGTGGTTAAAGTCAAGTGTGGGCCAGACAAGTTGGGTCGGGGTCGCCATATTGCACTCACTTCCAAAAGGCTTCTGAATGGGGCACAGAGAAAAAATTGGAAGTGGCTTGAATATTCCACATTTTAAAACCAATTATAAAAACATTAAGATATAAAATTAAATATTTTTTGTTTATTAAAGCATGAACCATTCCTTCTTTGGAACATTGCGAATTTTTAAGATAAAGAACTTAAAAATTTGTATGCCAAAGTCAGATACTTTAAAATGTTTATTAATTAATCAAAAGTAAGCCATTTGCGAGTATATATCCAATTTAAATTAAATTAAATTGTTTTAAATGCCTAGTTAAAATTATTTACAACCACCACATCAGAGTGAATATTTATAAACCCTTTATAATGTAAAACCTATAATAATTACATTTTATTGCTAAAGTTTATTGCTAGTTTTCGTTCTACCATTTTGATAATCTTTCAATTTCAGGTACATTTTATAATGAAATAAAAAAGAATAAAATAAAATTTAGAAATATAAATAAATGTTTTCTGTGCGTCCGACTTGACTCTAGGCCAATTACAACTCGTTTTTTAGCTGTCAGCCCCACTCAACTGCCCCTGGCCACGCCCACTCGCTGTAAAAGGGGATCCCGCCCCCGTTTTGTCTGCGTTTTGTAATTACTTTTGTGCACGTGCCACAGTACATGGATCTGGATCTGCCTTTAAAATGTGTTTCTGCAGTGCGACAAGTTCAGGGTCAGGGTCTGTGAATCTCTGCCAGTTTCAGCCATTCGCCCGTGTTTAATATTTAAGTTTTGCAAAATAGCCCTGCACTTGTGGTGCAAATGAGTGAAAATTTTATTTAAGGTAATTAATATTAATATTAAATGAGATTTATGGTTTCCTCACCTAAGAAAGAGATCAGAAAGCAAGGACATGGATTGTGGTGCTCCGCTATGATGTGTTAATTTCTGACAATAAAAAATATTACGCTATATTACGTATTGTCATGGGCCCAGAAATATCTGGAGCCGGAGAGTCCTGTCGCCGGCCATCAACAAACTGAACGAGTGATAAAGGATTACAGATGACAGCGGCAATGTTCGCGGAATTGATTAATTTATGGAAAACGAGAAGACTTTCAGCGGCGAGGCAAGGATGATTTTCCACACTGGCCAACAAGCTTGGGGGCAAAAACAAACAGGGTCATTCGATTTCAGAATATATGTGAGCTTATTTCCACCAGTTGAAGCGCTTTCCTGCAGCTTTGTGTCGCTTTTCAGCTTTGCAAAAGATGCATCGCTATTTAATTTAATGTGATTCGTAATTTGCAGCCATAAATTAATTGAATTAAGCCCATTTAATGAAAACTTGTTTGTGCGACTAATTGCGCCCAAAGGAGAGGGCACGAATCAGGCTGATGTCACGATTGATTTGGTTTGATTTGTGTGCAAATTCGAAGGGAATGGGACACTAAATGATTGAGTTTCCTTATCAAAAAAAGACGGAGAAATATTTTTCATATTGTTTACAATAATTACTTGTCAATGTTGAGTTTCAAATTCAATGTGCTCCGAACCGATAGTTCTATTCTCTATCAAAAAAGATTTTATTTCAATTTTTTGGCATGACGAATGTGAAACTAATGATTTACCCCCAATACTGCATCTCAACAATCATTAACCTGTCACTTGCCAAAACAGAAGAAATACGCCTTTACTACAAATCCCTTGAGCT